TGGAAACCGTATTATATGAAACTTTTTTATTTTTTTATTTAAACTACATATATATAAATCAAAAAAATGCGTACCATGTTGTATCGAAAGATTGCTTTACAAATACCGTGTTAAAGGGTATAGTGTTTATAGACTTTGCTGTGATTGTGATTACGCTCTTGTGACTCTTAGAAATGAAATATTTAAAAATTTGTATTTGTATTAAAATGTGTTTCCTCTTATATAAGATTTATTATTAATACACAATTAACTTTCTAACTTGTATATACGTACATGTGCAGCTGTCAAAAAAGCGCATTCAGAGAAAGTTTACTTTACTAGCAATCTAATCGTTTGAAGTATGCAATTTTTATCATTGGCTTTGTAACAGTCAATAGGGTCTTTATAGGTGCAATAAGAATATGAAGTGTTTATTCTTTTTACTATCTACTTAGGATTACATTTCCTTCTGCGTCGAAAGAAAATCAGTTTCTTCTTCTTAACCTGCATAGATAGTTTCGAATACTAGCCTCTTACTATTAGTCTAAATAGCATTGGTTCAAGCTTGACAACACCTGCCGCTCCCAGCATATATTTTGATGCCCCATCAAATCGGTGCGACTTGGTTTCAAACACATTATGGATGGGTTTGTAAATCTGAAAGGATTTTTTATGCCTGAAAATAGCTGAACCTATCTTCTCGTTCTTATTTATCAATCAAGTAAGAGGCAAGAAATGTTTCAAAGCATCACTGTGCGAAGATAACATTTAGTGAATTGCTCAACAACGTAGCTGTTAGTCGTAGCGTCTAGTCGTATATATTTTTCCCTACTTTTAAACTTTGACATAAACATTTACATCACGTATGTACATATATGTGTGTTAGTTAATACACCAAGGATACTTTATAACAACAACAAAACTTTTTTATATTATACGAACTTTTTTTTTTATATAAAATTATACATGTCGTGAGCATAAGCAAACACATAAATATCTGCATTTATGGAGAAAAGATCAGAGCAAGGTTAGAAATAAATACATTTTCTGTTCGGAATACATAGATTAATACAGCGAAAGCAAAACCTGCTCTGCTGTAGCATATATTTACATAATAAACGTTACAATTCCCAATAGATATGTAAAACAGTTCGGTTAGACATGCTTTATATGCGTAAACTTCCCAGTCTTTGAGTTTTATATTGCGTATATATACATATATATATATATATATATATATATATGTGTGTGCGCAGAATACATAAATGTAATGGGAAGGTGTTACGCGCTCTCATCCTCAATTTCCAGGTGTTATAACCGTATTGGGTATAAACTTGTTATAAGCATGAAAGTGAATTTGATTTTGAGCATTTGTTGCTGTTACTGCTGTTGTTGTTAACGTTCATTGTGCTTTGTTGTTTACATTACCAATGCCAGCAACTACTGCAACTGCCACTACCACTACTACTACTACTACTACTACTACTACTAATACTACTACTGCAATTAGTGCTACTACAACTACTACTACTACAACTACTACTACTACTACTACTACCACAAATTTTACAACTATGACAACAATTTGCAAATAAATGTCAATTTAAAGAGACACTATTTATGGTCTGCAGTTGTGTGAATTATCCCACACACTCTCTTCTCAGTCCCCTTATGAGTGAAGCAAAAAAACTGGGTCATATTCAAAACTGAACTAAACCATATACCATAAACACCTGAATATTGTATATTCATAAATCTCTAGCACCTATATATATATATATATGCATACATAAATCTAGTCGGTTCACTCAAATCTATACATGTAAGCGCAAACACAAACATGCATAATACATAAACAAGGATTTACTATAACTCATTGTTAAACAAGTTACTGTTACAACAAAAACAAATTTTGTGATTCGCCTTGAATTTTATTCCCGCGTTACATGCCCATGCTTGCATAACTGTTGACGGTTACAAGTTACAATTGTTCAACCTTCACAATCTGCAAATAAATAATAATTCAACCAGGTTTTTAGTTATACATGCGTCGCACTTTTATTATTTGCATGCTTTTTCCAATGTTATTAAGTAAATGTCAAAATTTGACGTTTAAAATAGAATGGGGAAAAATCGTGAAATAATATAAAATATTCCACGATGACGACAACAACAGGGGCAATAAACAACAACAATTGCTGTTGGCTGTGGTTGACAAATGAAAAAGAGATTTACAACAATAACAATACCGAATATTTATTCCCGCCGCTTTTAACGATACCGAACCTTATAAATATAATAAAAAATAAACAATTGAACTTACATACGAACAATTCAAGCTATGGAGTGGTACTTAAAAATCGTATTGCAACACTCTACTCTATATCGTTTTGATTAGCAGGTAAAAAAAATATGCATAACTTTACTAAAAAAAATATTTCTCGATAACTCGAACTGTATTCAATGCTCAAATAATAAAAGAGAAAGCCAATGATAAGGAATCCAGAAAGAAATATTTCTTTATTTAATCACAATCGTTAAGTGTAAAAACGCATTACGCACACTATAACACTGCTACGAAAATCACGCTTTTGATAATATGAGTCCGCTTGATAACTATTCGACTTTCAGGCAAACGAAAATCATTCAATGCTAAAAATTAAATACAGATTCATGATGCTTTAGCGTGCGACGTGGGAAAGTGAAGCAGCCGCATACAACTGACGACTGGCGAAGAGATCAACCACAGTTCCCGCGAAAAGAGTTTTACGCGAAAATTTCGAATTAAAACTAGCATTGGCAACTTGCTTGTAAAAAGTTATATATAAACAAAATATTTCCAGAAGAAAAAGTCATTTGAGTCGAGAGAGCCGCATATTGATATTCGAAGCTAAGGAAGCATTAAAGCTGTATATCATTCATTTATGGATAGATCTCCTAACAATCGCAAATAAAACTTGCGTTATTGAAAAAATCATAATTGATTGATGCGAACTGAAACTCAGAATGATTCCGATAGAAAGGAGAGATCGCCAGGGGACAATTTACGTAACAACGTACTTTTGTATTTTATCGTTTTTTCAATTCATTATTTCGTTTACAACATCCGCGTATAGGTACTGAAAATTGCATTGATTCGAAGCCCTAGAAACATTTTACGAAATTGTTAAGCATCGATATAAGAAATGGGCGAATTACGACGTGGCGGGCGTTTAACACGCAAAAATATTGAAAGAGAGGAAAGAAAAAACGTGCGGAAAGTCTAACATGCAAAAAATTGAAATAAATAATGGATTTAAATAAAATTATTAAAAAGAAATATAAAGAAAAAATAAAGGAGAAAAAAAACTGCAACCAAAACCAATCTCTGGTGGTTTTATTATGGGTCGGAAAAAGAACATCGCGCTCGTTTTAAACTTTATAATTTGACATGCTGAATCGTCTGCTGTTCATTCGCTGCATTTTTCGAATAAGAGTGTGAAGAAGATATCGAAAATATATTTACAAATGATTTTTATGCAATTTCAATCAATTATAGCTCCGTTCGCCGTAGCTAAAAAGCAAAACCAATATCAAACATTTCGTAATAATTGTTTCAATCATTTAAAATAAATAATAACCGAAACGGGCGGAAGGTCATAACAATGTTGCTCTACATAAAGGGGACACATTTTCGATTAAGAAAAACGATTTTCGCCCCTGGGTTTACAATAGAAAGTGAAATGAACGCACATTTATTTTATGCTGATATAAATTTATTTGTTACTTAGATTTTTGCGATGATTGATTATCAGCAACGTAACAGAAGATCTGAAAGGTTTGGCGGTATAATAAATATACTTGCATACATATCGATTAGCCGGCTTGTCGAGATTGTTTCGGCTTTGCTTCTCATTTCTCCTACTTCTACTATAAACTTCCGTTGAAGTGAAGTAGCGGATACTCCTTATAACCGAATACGTAGAAAATGGGGAATGGCACGACGAGGCTTTCTGTCAACTACAACAAACAGACTGATTTAACTTTAGGCTCCAGGTATCAGTTCAAGTTCATTGCGACAAGCTTAAAAACAAAGGGACCTATAGACGAGCGGTTATTAGATCGTTATGTCTGGAGTAAGATAGAAGACGGACAATAGATGGGCAATAAGCGTATAGTAAACGAACGGGAGACTACAGCGGGCAAAGAAACGACTTATGATATTTATAGGCAAAGAAAGCGGTGGCGGGTGGATTATTTAATATCAATCTTTAAGTTTTTTTATTTGCAACAAAAAAAAACAAGAGGGTCCTTATATTCCACTTAAGCTATATTTTTGTATACTCTTCTATTCGTTGGTAATTATTTCAAAAAAAAAAAAAACGCTATCCTAAGCTATCCACAAAGTATGGGGTCAGTGCAGAATTAATTAACCTCTCCGTAGCTTAAGAGTCCAAATGTCACAAGAATTAAAATGGAATACATTACTTGTAGAACACATACCATCAAAAATATTTAGGACTTTGAAATCATGAACCAGAGACTTCACTTTTTGTATATTTAAGTTTATGGATATTTAAACTGCTATCCAAAATGCAAATATTAACCACTGTTGTTGCTCTACTCAGAGGATAGCCGCACTTCAAAACAGAAAAACACATGTATCATCATTTAACCCATAATTGTATATATTAATATTTCAGTTTGCTTTAATATTACATTTCACTTCAAAAGTAAAGACGAATAGTTACAATTCCACATGGCCACTTATCTGCTTAGGATAAAAGAGAAAATGAAATGAAAAAAAGAAATATTTTTTAAAATTTTTTTTAACTATATATATTATATAGTGGCCACTTTTATTCTTAACTTGCAAATCTGTCGGCAATTTATATCGATTGATCGTGAGTGATCCTGCTAAATACTTGTATCTCTGTAGACAGATTTGTGACAGCTGGACAAACACAAAGTCTTTCGCAAGTTCAAATGTCAAATGCGGTATAAGGTTTACTTTGCTCAATCGGTAAAGTCATAATACTTACCGGTTAAGCACCTACACTTGCTGATTAGACTGCGGCCAAACATCTCTGTCTCTTTGTATTTCCTCATTTCTTTCTGATCGCCACCGCGTGACATGAATATGGTATATCTCCTGAATGATTAGTCATACGCAAAAAAAAAAAAAAAAAAAAAAAAAATGGGGATACGAATGTGAATAAAGCAAATTGGATATACTCGAGAAACGAATGTATACATTATTTCTATGTTTCTTTGAAGAGCTGCAGCTGGAAGAGAACTTGTGCGATTCTCCATCTATCAGATGGAGATGAGTTTCAGATCTCTAAAAAAAAAAAAAAAACCAAATTATGTTTGGAATTTGAGCCAAGTGAAAATAAATAAAAAAAAACGCAAATGAAAAATGTGCCTCCGATTCAGAATTTTGTATGATAAATAATCCAAATTAACAAAAAATATTACAAATATTTTCTCGTATCCGTCCATTACATTTTTCATAAAGTTCTGCCAATTCATTTGCGGAGCACATTGCATAAAAATTTAAAAAAAACTCAAGGTCTCCCTTCTACATGACCACCCTTTCATATACGAACATACATGCAGATGAATATGTCAGTGTAGGTAATTAATTCATAAATTCTTTACTCTACAGAGTTAAAAATTCAATGATATGATATTCGTATATGCGTGTACATTTTATATTAGTTTTATATATGTTGGTATATGAATATATTAATGAAATTGTAACATTTATTTCGCATGTCATAGGCAAAAGCCAGCATATATGTGTGTGTTTGCAATGTACACGAAATTTCCCATATTTCATGAAAATTTTATAATTAATGCTTTTTTTTGCTTGCTGACGTTTCCTTTTCTGGCATCCTTGCGTCACGTTGGTCAATCTGTGAATGTAAACCGCAGTAGATCAACATCATAGCTGGCATCATCGTTGCCATTAGTGAAAGATATAAGAACAAATCCATAAACGTTGCTATTATCGCTTTCATGGCATATAATCGCTATAATGTCTAGTTGGCCTGGATGCTATCATTTTTTTTTTTTTTTTTTTTTTTTTTTTTTAATATACCTTTCATATATTAAAATCTCTTTTACGGTATCCATTGGACATTTTGACTTTTTTTTGTTTATTAAAGACATTTACTTTTGTGTTAGAAATTAAAAAAATAAAAAAATTTTCATAAAAAAAAAAAAGTCTTACTTTTTTACATATTCCCTTGCATACTTTCAGGTGTGCTGTGTACGCGTAAAATGAAGCCTACATTTTCTCACGTTCTATTCAATGTATTTAAAAAAAAAGAAAAAAAAACCTCGACCTATGTTATCTTAACACCTCAGGGATTTTTAACTTCTGAGTAAATTGACACTTTAATTGTATGCAAGTAAAGATTACCTTCCCCGTAGTTAAATGTCAACATAGTAAAAAAAAAAAAATTAAGTAAAAGAACTTGCACTCGCTTTTATCGAATCCCGAATACCCAGCAACTCCGACATATGTCCGTTATAATAATTGCAATAGAAATACCTAAAGGTAAATGCATTAGACTTTCTTCTTTATTTTAATTCATTATATTTATTTCAGTTTAGGATTGACCAAAGTGAATGGACAGACAAGCTAAAGAACGGAGACACGGATATATATATAGGCAGATAGGTAACACCGATGGACGGATAGACAGATGAATAGATAAAAGTACATTGGGAGGGCAAGGTAAGCCTAAACAGACAGATAATTTTACGACAAAGAATTTTACACCGATTACAAACATATATATGTTACATGAGATATAATTCAATTCTAAATGGATAACAAACGATATGATATAATCGATATACCTTTATTCTCGGGAAGTGCTTAAACGCTACGACTTCTTTTAAAGAATGTTTAACTATTTGCTCTCAGTTTTCTTAACAAGAACGGATGCACAAGATTTACTTGTGCAGAATACATACATATAATGTGTATAATCCGTAAATCTTTATGGAAGGCAACTGATAAATGTGTGTGTATTCTCCATGGATATAAGTGCAATTACCGTAAAATTGTGAAATCATTATTTTAACAGTCAATTGTTGCTTGTTCAAAACTCAAAATCACACTATGTTAGTGACTGAGTAAACACTTTTTCCTTAGATGTATTTACATGTCATTGCTATTACTTGCCGCCTTACCTATCGCAGCAGCATATATATATATATATATATACATCGAGCGTTCTTACACTTCTACGCGCTTTAATATTCATTCCATTTGTTTGAATATTTACCCTTTTTGTTTTCATAATCATCTGCATTTCTATCTGCGTATCGATGTAAGTATGTTGTGTGTGCATGTGTGCGTGTGTGTGTGTGTGTGTGTTTGTATGTGCGCGCAAATAATTGTGTATCTCTTGTGCTTGTTTAATGTGTTTTTCTGTTTTGTTAGTTTTACATTAGCCTAATGAGTTATAACTACACGACTGCTCTGTTGTTATGCTTATGCAAAATGAAATAAAACACTTCTCAGTTTTTCAGTTGTTGTAATAAAACGAGAACAATAATAATAGTAACAACAACAAAATGAAAGAGAACAACAATAATTTCAATTACACTGAGCCTGTGTTTCTTTTTTTTCTTTCCTTTTCTGTTTTGGCGAACAGTAATTATGTAACAATGTTTTCATGATTTTTAATTGTTACACATTGTAATAACAACATTTGGAATACGTGTGTGCGTGCAGCGCACAAAAGTAGTCAGAGCAAATAAATGCATTCATCAACAGACGTAACACAAAAGTGCAAAGTGATTATTTAATGAGTTCAACTGTCAAATTATCATCATTTTTCTTTGCTCATACTTTACAACAATTTGTACGTAGTTATGGCGAATAATGCCTCAGCCAAAAAGCATTATTTCTTTCTTTTTTTTTTTTTTTTTTGGAAAACTTACAAAGATAAGCAAAAAATGTTTCAAACATTCTTTTTAACACGAGAGAGAAATGAATGCTTAGATAAACTGCAAAATAGTTGAGAAGTAAAGGAATTTTTGTTTTGCTATACTGACATGTCACAGTAACAAATTGCTTTCTGTGTACCCTGAGCATATCAAATTCCAGGCATAGGTTTGTAATATGCAGAAGATGCGCACACCTTTTACTCTACCGATCGTCTCAGAATCATTTTCTGGATCAACTAGACTAATTAATTGTATCCACTTCTTTAGCGGTATAGTCGTGTGCTCGTCAAGCGCAGAGGAAGTCTAATATGAAATTAGTTTGTGATGCAATGAATTGACACAACGACCAAAATATATTCTAAAATACATTATTGCAGCAATGAGAAAATTTTATAGGGAAATCCAAACGAACGAAAACCGAATCGGCGGACCATAATAAATATATCCGTCATACACAGCTAACTGGTTAAGTCATGCCCACAACGCCAAGTAAACTGAGAAGACCTCAGTTAATAAGTTATTTTTCTACGCGTTACTCATAAGCTTGCGCAGAAAAATGTACAAAAATTTGAACGCATATTCAAATGAGCGATCATGTAGTTTCTGTAGAAAAATGAAAAAAACTGACCGCGCCTACTCAATATATATATATATATAATAGAGTGTGTCGAAATTTAATTGTGTTTTCAATATCTTTATAAGAAGCGGAAAAAAGCTTCAGAAACCCTTCAGAAAGTATATAAATTCCTGATCAGTTTCAAATTGAGAATGCACCTAAATATGTCCATCTGTGCGTCTGTCCATCTGTACATGTGGCCAACTGTTTTGCATCTGTCGTAGACATTCTACCCTTCGCAAAAACAAAATTATCGGCTAGCAACAGAATTTCGAAGTGTCTTGAACTTTTCACACGATATGCCCACAAGGCCCACGTGCCTACATTACAAAAACTTTTATTTCTAAAACAAAAAAAAATCAGCCTCGCCCACTCCATATTAGAGAGAATGAATGAAAGTTTCTCTTCTCTTACGGTGACGGATATAAAACATTTAGGTCTCTTCTGAATAAAATATTCTTAATTGTTTATTCTTGGAATCGGTCAACGAATGTTTAAGTTTCATATATTTGTGATTACACAAAGATTGTATATAAAATTGATGAAATAAGTGAAATAAGTTCAACATCTATGCTATGATAAAATACATACACACCGGACTGTTTTTAGTTAGTAAGCAAAACATTTTTGTTTGTTCATTGAGTCTATTGCTTCAAAGTCGAACTACTAAATAACTTGACGGATTTTCTAGAACTGTAAACCAATTTTTCAAATTTTTTAAACACTCTGTTTTCATTTATCAAACACAATTAAGCATTTTACCTTCACTTAGGCAATCCATTAGCTTTTTAAAGGCACGGAAAGCCATCAATATCAATTGCATGTCACACGAACATTTTTCATTATTTTATTCTATGACTGGCAATAAACATTGCAAGCACTGATGCGATAAATTAACGGAAAGCTAAATCACTTACCAGAGAAACACTAAGTCACGTGGCAACCAATAATAGATAACCCTGAATATTATATTATATAATAAGATTGTCCTTCAGATTGCAGATAGACGATAAGTTTTTATTGGTTAGAAATCTTACTCAGATTTTTAGCAAACCTAAAAAACCAAAATTTGACTATGCAAGCCTAGACTCATTTGTCGCGATTTTGATGGGCACACCCGTTTAGACTGCGTAAGCAATTCGGGTTCGAGAAATGAATGAATTTTGAAAATAAATATTCATCTAGGAAGCGTTTCATCTTTGTCTTGTAGACTGTTGGACCCCTATGGATTGCTTACGAAATTTCCATGCTTAGGTTTAACATTAGGTTACTATATATTCGAACAATAAGCTATATCTTATATTAGGAAGTACGCTTCCAAAAATTTTAGTGCCTTTTTTGATTTTTGACCAAGCCCATCCAAACCTGGCGTGTTTCCATCAAATTTCAAACACTTACGAAATTTATCAAACCGAAATTGAATCATTACACGGAAAGTATTTTTCTAGTATATGTCTAGGCCGGACAGACGAAAACAATATGCTGCGCGTCATCGTTGATGCTTTGGCATAGGTCGCAGGCGTTATCTTCTAGTATTATGGAACGGCACAAATAAATCGCGACCTTTCCATGACTCGGCAAAATTTGCATTCAGGAAAAATTGGTTTCATGGTGTTACAGGGTACAGGGTATAGGGTATATTAAGTTTGTGCGGACATGTGTAACACCTACAAGGGCCTACAAGAGACCCATCTTTTACATGCTTTGTTTGTCTTTCCGTCTGTCTATGTATATAAGTGTGCGATTTACAGATTGCAATTTTTGGCACATTTCATTGGAATTCGGTACGTTGGCGCGCTTTGGGGCGGGAACAGGCGCTACTGAAATTTTTTCAAATCGCAGCACTATTTTCGACCACTTCATTGTAATGGCAGGCCATGGCCCATTATAATATTTTTACTTATTTTTAATTGTCAATGGACTTTAGCGATTCGCAACGCCCTACATTTAGTTTGATGGAGTTAACGTAAACTAAAAGATTCTAAAGCCATCTATTGATGATGATAATAAAAAAATCTTTAATTCTTGACACGCATTCTGAGGTTTCCTTAATGGCACAAGTAAATGATCACTAAATTGTCAATTTTCTATAAAAACTAATTTATTTACATCTATTTATTCAAATAGTCAAATATATTTCATTCATTCCTGATTCACATAAATTCCAGGAACGATTTTATGGTATCCCTTTTTTCTGCGTAGAATGCTATCAAACTTGACTAGGTTCCCACTTGTTTCACTTCGAAAATGAGCTAGATTGATCTCTTGAGCGCACACAGTTCCACATCCATACTATAACATTAAATATGCTTACGTATTAAAAAAATTGAGGGAAAGCAAAGGAAACTTAAGTTTAGTCAATATATATATAGTTATATGAAAGTTAATCTTACAATTAATTGCATCATGAATTAATAAAAATATTATAAATTAAAATTTTGTTTTCATTTCAGAAAGCTGCCAAGGACCACACGAAAAACGTTTACTTAACCACCTTTTATCCACCTATAATACACTAGAGAGACCAGTAGCTAATGAATCAGAACCTTTAGAAGTTAAATTCGGACTGACTTTGCAACAAATTATCGATGTGGTAAGTTCTTGCTTAACGACAAATTCTTTTAAAAAATCTTTTTTTATTACATTTTATGGTGATTTGAAATTATGGAATAAAAGGATTATTGAAAGAAGAAAAAAAAAAAAAAAAAAAAGAAAAAAGTAATTGAAATACCCTTCAACCAATAAATATTATGTGTATTTTTTATAGGATGAAAAGAATCAGATCTTGACCACGAATGCGTGGTTAAATTTGGTAAGTGACATGTACCCATTACGTTTTATTTTACATATACGCATAGATATATATAGACTATCGCAAAAAAGCAAAAACCATTAATAATAACAATAATAATAATAATAATAATGATATGATAATTAATAAATAACGCACACTTTACATGATAAATATGAAATGAGAAAACCAAAAAAAAAAAAAAAAAAATGATGAAAAGCGACCTTAATAACGAAGATAATATGATTTTTAGGATTTTTTTTTTAAGTTTCATTTAGCATAAGTTAACTAAAATGTATGTCTTGTGAGTGAATTTATATTAAATGTCATCAATAATTAATTATGAATACACTATTTAATGTATATTTCGGTGTTTAGTTTTAGTAAATGTTAAAATTGTTAAAATATATTTTTAAAAAAAAAAATTTATGAAGAAATCCATAACCCATAAATCATACTAAGCAAAATACCACCAATTGCATTCAGCTGAGAATAAATCATAAACTTACGTCACTTGAATGAAAAATGTATGCTTGTTAAGGTCAGCGAATATGTCATCGAATTTAGGGTATAGCGATTTTGCCATTCTGTTTGTAACATATCGTATCACTGAATAAGTTTCCGGTCTGATACATACGCAATAACATTGTCGACGGATCTATATGATTTCTGACTAGCAGTAAACTCCAGACTTTACGTGTCAAAATTTCATTTCGAGATTAGTTTACACTTGATCTAGTCACACTAATATTTTGATCACTTTGAGCTGCTGTCGTTGCCCTCGGTTGATTACCGACTTGACTCTGCGCTGTAGTAATGAATCCAAGTTTCATCCTTTGCCGCATGGCAAAATCCTTTCTCTTCGCCTAAACAAAATCGAACAGCACTCTTAGTTATCAACACGTTTACTGACGACAGTGAGCAAACCCACAAAACCAACTTCAGGGAAGTATTCATGCAAAATACTGAATACACTACCGACCGACATTTTTAAGATGTCAGCTATTTTACGCAGGTTCACCTTTCGAAAACGATTTTGGGCGCTTTTGTGGGCGATCAGAGCAAACACTTATAAACTGATTGTCAGTATGTCATGATATTTTGGCCTGTATCATGTGTGAAGGTTGGTACTATCCAAAAATAATATGGGGCTATCAACAGTCAAGCCAGGAGACTTTTTGAGTGATGTGTTATAAAAATAGCCATAAAAAAGCCCATAGGACTTAATGTCGAACAAAAACGAATCGTGAATTCGTCGCAGACTCAAAGTTTTTTGGTTGAGTTAACAAAACCTTTGCGCATTATATGTTAAGAGCTTTTCTTCTTGAAAAGCTTAATTTTGCTTTGACTTCATCGTCATAAAGAAAATTACTATTTTTAGAGACCTTCTGCTACTAATTTTCTAACTCTTCAACTGCGCAAGCGTGCTTGAAAATTTGACACCTATCATGAGTTTTTTTTTCTGTTACAGAAACGTCTCTCTACACATTCCCGGATATTCTGGCATAACTCCATAAGAAAATGAATGTAAAACATATGATCTATTTTTCTCTACTTAAAATTTTTAGGCGCGCGATACAGGCGGAATAAAAGTACTATTTGCTGTTTTTACGGCCGAAAACACCGGAAGAGAAGATTGATAAAATTTTTATTGGGAATAAGTTTGATAAATTCCCAGTACACTTTGTTCACAGCATGTAAAGTAACTTCGATTCGATCGTATCCGTCGTAAACATTTGGCTTACATCTCTTTGCTTCGGTGAAGTTCGGACCTTCCTTGACTGAGAGTGCGGCCATACGTATACAAATGGACATATCTAAATCGCTTTTAATCTTCTAATAGCTTTAGAGCAACTTTGATCTGTACTCCGAGACGTGACAAAGTTAATAGATGCCCATGTTTCAATAGGTTACCTCTGTTGACAAAGTTGGAGGAAGTAATCTCTATTTCAAGCGTGAACATGCGTGCGACAAGTGACATCCTGCTAAATCATACGCCTAAAGTAGTGCTTATAGCAGTCGATCTTAACTAAATTTGTTTAGAATTTTGAACTAATTGGAAACGTGTTTTCTATATTTACGAGTGCCACAAATGTCGTAACATAGCTGCCATTTATAAACTTTTATGATCACTTTAATGGATCTATTAAAATGTTATAAAAAAAATTGCTGAACAAAAAATGTAAAAATATAATATATATGAGATATTTCTATAACCAACGAATATTTGACAATTTTGGAATTTTTATATCCAGATGTTAACCAAGATGAACCGAAAATTTCAAGTTTTTTCTTTTTTCTTTCAAGTGTGAAGGGATGGGTTTTTATTAGAAATTTGCAATATATTCGATATGCTATATTAATATACACACATGTGAATATTTTATGACTACTATTAAATCCACGTCGCTTTAAGGATCATTTCTACTACAGTACACATGAGGAAGAGCTAATGCGTAATTGCATAAATTCCAATATATTGAGATTAATTTACTAAATCAACCGTAAGCTCTAAACTTAATTGAATTTGTGTTAAGGATTTTCGTTTTCCACAAAATTCTCGCCCGCTCTCTTTACATATTCCCATGTCGTTTTCTTTTGTCTTTCTATGGCATCCTTTTTCAGTATATAAACATAATCTCAACAATGAGATAATTAAATATTACGTAACATCTACCAGAATATCATACGTCCGATAACCTTTTAGGCATTCGTCGTGAAATGTTTTTACATTATTTCTCCAAGATTTTGTATAAATAAAAAGAAAATAAATAAAAATTTAATTAAAAAAATCTATTCTTAATTCAAACAAATATTATATTTCACAAAACATATATTTATTTATGTATTCAAATGCTTGTTTAAATAAAAAAAAAAAAAAAACAAAAAAAAAATTAAAAAAAAATATTATGCAATGATGGATTTGAGAATTTTCATTTTCGTTATTTATTAAAAACACATGGCAAATAAATTTAAATAAAACCAACATCAATATTTATGTAAATGTTTTAAATTTAAAAATTTTCTGTTCAATATGAAAAATTAAAAGATATTTTTAAACAAAACCGTGTATAGTCAGAATAACAAATAATAATAAATGTGTTTTATTAATTATGATATTAAAATAATAAATGTTGATTACTATTTTTTTTTTTTTTTTTTTTTTTTTTTACCATTTTTAATATTTTTCTGGGTACATGTCATTGAATATGTAAACTAAAAAAGCAAAAAAAAAAAAGCATATGAAAAAATACGTTCGTCTTATAACGAACATTGCATACCCATCACCGAAAGGTTGAACTGTAATGCCTTCGAACGCTAAATGAAAGCATTGCCTTGCATTGCGATGTTTGAAAACCATCTTCAAGAGATCCAAAAGAAACGAATATTGAACTGGAGGGTAATCTAAAAGTTAACTTTCACTTTTATCTTCCGCCGCTTTTAGCAAAAACTAAATTTTTCATACGTAATTATACCCCTGGTTTTATAACCGACACGGGCACAGTCCGCGTGTTCTCCCTCCCTCTCACCGTTTCATCTTCAGATCGAGTTCAATTTAAAACAATTTTATTCCAAAAATAGAAGAAAGAAATAAAAGTATTTCGCCCTTTTCTTTACGGCAAACCGAAGCTCTTCCCTACTTCTGAGCAGAGTTATTGTGAAATACATTCTCCTCAGCTCTCAAGTTTTCCAAAATAATTTTCCTTCTACCATGCAGAGCTTATCTTCTGTCTGTGTGCTTTCTGTAATTACACCTTACAATGACTATGCTTTACTATCGCGTTCACATTGCCCACCGTAACAAGGCAAGCATCCGATTATCCTCTTTTGACAGTTCCATTTAATTTCAGAAAAAAAAAAAACATCATTTATCCGTTTAATGCAAATTGGTTCATTGGTAAGAATAACAACATAACGACGGCGATGGTTATGAAACAACATATATGTATAAATAAACACGATGCATGCTTTATTTACACATTTTTAAATAAGAATAACACTGAAAATAAAAAAAAATAAATTAATTCACTACCAATAATTAAGAAGCAAATCAAAAAGTGTTCGTTTTTTTTTTTTTTTATGTAAATACTTATTATTGGCTCTCAAAGTACATTCTACTATTTGATTTAACTGTGACAGTTTCATTTTGTGTTGGGATTTGTAACAAATCGTTAATTAATGAAAATTATAAAATGTTGTTGTCACTGTAAATGCATTATCCACGCTAGCGTTGAATATGCAAATTCTTTATTAAAAAACTGTAGCAACAGTCAGCATTTATGCTACAGTAACGAAGAGTACAAAATCTGTACATTTTTTCAAATAGATTCAAATTTAGTGAACCGGATGCCGATTATCGCACTGGTTGTTTTTTTTTTTTTTCTCTTTTAGTGAAACCTTCAACTATTGTAATTGAACTGATTGAAATAATTCGCACGTAAGCTAAACAGCAAACAGGAAAAAAAATTAATTTTACTTTAAGTTGCTTTTTCGGTTATAGCAATAGAAGGAATTAATTTTCCGATTTCCATCTAACACTGTAGTACCCTCTCAGACAACTAAATATGCTTTCACAGTAAATTTGTTTAGTTTTGACAACAATATGCATAACGAAAGCATATTGCATAGGAGAGAACGCCAATAATTTTCTCGGCTGATTATAGTCGGCTACTTAGACGAGATCCCTCTATCTAAATGAAGGACAATTTGCCGTATGAGTAGCGGCAACCAGGTCACACAAATGGTGTGGAATGTAATAAAAAAAGCAGCTTCAAACAGTTTTAGACACAGTTCGCAATTAAAACCACAGCATCAATGGCCCAGTGGGTAAGAGTTGCGACTAATAAGTCGGGTTAAAAGCTTGAATACGGTAGAGTACACTTTGAGCGTAGCTTTAGTGAGTTCTCAGTCGGCGTAAGCATAACATTTATCAATTAGGCGCACACCCACTAGTCTAGGGCCACTACCTACCTATTCCTTTCTCTCACCTTTTTTTTCAGCTTTAAAAATATGCTTTGTCG